CTTTTAATTATCATCTGCATATATAAAAATAAGTTTTGCGTTTTGCTTTTGTAATCTTCATAGTAACCTTTAAAATAAATATTGGTGATGTAACAACAATATAAAAATAAAAGAAAAAGAAAAAAAGGAAAAAAAAATTCACTAGCTATTTGCAAAATATCCTTATATATCCATATCATCATCTATTTTTTACTCATAGCTAGTTGATTTCGAAATTACATTATTGCAGCTATCTATTATTACTTCGTTTCTCAAATTCAGTATAAATACATTTTTTAACCCATCCATTACCACTTTCTCCTACTTAACGTTGTTAATTGCAGTGAAAATAATCAAAGTTATTTAAATTGTTTTGAATGAATCAATTATTTTAAAGTATATTTTTGAAAGAAAAAACTGTCCTAAAATTCTATTTAGAATGTTTTAATGTGGCTGGTAAACATAAAATGATAGCTGTAAATCTTAATGGTTTCCGCAGTAATTTTGCATAGGTTATTGTAGAAATAAACTTTAGTATTGATTCCACAAGGCTTTTAAATGATTTCAACTATTCTCAAAATCTATGATACTTACAATCATATTCACTCAAACCTATAAAATATAAGTTACAAGATGGCATTGGATTATTTATAAATACTATAAAATGATAATATGCGATTTTAACAAGTTGCTTTAGAATTCTGAGATAGGACTTTTTTTAGGGCAATTAATTTTTTATACAGCTTATAAACGTAGTGTCTTTTTTAAGTTCATAGAATTCTCTGCGTTTGTAAGAGTTTGCTAAAGGTGAAAATTATTAGACTCAAACTGCCAATCAGTATCTAATGATGAGTAAATTTTAAGAGTAATTTTTAGAACTGTAATTATTTAAGTGCATAGCTGTAATTACTTAAGTACATTCTAATGTCTTGGTCAAATAAATATGAATAATTATAGTTCATAAATTTTAAGTTTTGTGCCGTAAAAACACAATCATTCGAATAAAATAAAATCGCTATATACTGAAGTTAATTGTTTTTGTACTTCAAAATTAAAATACGCTTATTACGAATTCTTCAATTTTAAATAAAGAAGAACAAATAGTTCATAATTTTTTTAAAATATTTCACTTATTATCTGTTTTCACTTGGACTACCAAATTACAAATTTATACAGTAAGATAATTACATATGACAGGAAAACGTTACCAAGTGACAAAATTAAAAGCGCCATAGGGTGTACATATTTTATACTTACCATACATCTCATAGAGATCTAATCAATAGAGTATACACAATTCTTAATATGTAATAAATGAAACTTGTATGAATAATTATTATTTAACTAAATTAATGAATTGTTAAAAAAATTATTTTCTTTAAAAATAATATGTATTTTACAGAACAGCTCAAAAAATAAAATAAATAAATAACGGAACAAAGCATCTGAATAACTTCTGTTTTAAAGATTTTATTTTTAGGTTAAGGATTTGAGAATCCAAATTGAGATACTTACTACAAATAGTGAAGAGACGATATTTTAAAATGTGAAATAAAATCAAAACGACTAAGCAAATGTTTTCCTTACTAAGGATTTATATCAAAAACCCACAAAACATGTACGGGGGGGGTGCCGCAATCTTGAAAATATGGTCCTAACAGATCATAGTATGTTATACTTTCAAATTTCAAGAACTTTTCGGCCAATTCTGTCAAGATTTCAGATTTCGTGACCGAAAATATTATACTTTGATATTCAAAAATGTTTTTATTTCATTAATAAAACTCTTTTAGCCATTATAAGAATTAAATATGAATGATAATTGAATACATAAAAATTAGATTTTTAAGTGTAACTTTTCTTTAATGGAGTCTTATAGGGGTGATTTCTTAAACACAAAAGGTGATTTCTTAAGTCCCTGAGTAATAAATATTAGGAAATGCAGCAGACTTCTTAATATTTTTCTTCATCATTTTTCGTAAAGTTTCAACTAACAAATCATATGCATTTCTGCTAAATGTATTTAATATTTCATTTTTATTTTTTAATAAACGTTACTTCAAAATCCCCTCCATGGACGTCACTACGTCTGTGACACAAAGTAATTTTTAATGGCTGTTAAACAATTTAAATGTTATTTTAATGATTTTTGTAGTTTTAACTAGTTAAATGTTTATAGTAACTTTTTATTTAATATTTTTTTAAAAAAAAATTTATTTTTGTAACATAAATGACTAGTAAACTTTGTCCATCAAAAATGAAATCACCATCCATGGGCAATTAATGTAGTTCGGTAAATATGCAATAAAGGCCGCATGTGGGAAATCCCTATAAAACAGCTGCTGTGAGGGGTAACCATTCCATTTTCTAATGTTAACTATCAGTTGTTTTTGTTCTCTTTGGTGTCAGTTTTGGATTGTTGTGTTCAACTGGGGTTTGGCAAAGTTCTCACCGTATACTCCGTGGACATCATAAAGAAGGTAAGAGAAAATTATTTTATTTTTGATAGATGAATTTTAGATTGCAAAAATAGTATATTTAATAAAAAGAACTGCCCCATTTTTGTAACTTTAAAATTAAAAATCAGAAAAATTCAAGAACTAGTTTTTGTCTCCTCCGTGGACATAACAAGTCCACGGAGGAGAAGACACAGTCAATGGAAGAGACAATGTGTTAGATAACCATAATACAATTTTAATAATTAAAAAACTATTTTCTTTTAATTGATATTTTTTAAAATGGAACAAATGTGTTAATTTGTTTCTATTTTTAAAGAAAATCAATTAAGTTTAACTTTTTCTTATCGGAGAAGTAAATATTTGGCAATTTTTCTAAATAATTTCTGTGATGTTTAACACTTCTTTTTCTCTCCAAATTTTAGGAAAAAAGTGGCAAAACCAAAATGTAGGAAAAGAAAGCAATCAAATGTTCAAATGCAAAAAAGAAGGGAACGGAAAAAACAACAACACAATCTGAGACAAGCTAGACAGAAATTAAAAGAAAACTCTATATTGTTTGAAGAAAGTAAAAAAAAAAGAGCAAGAAACTTTAAAATCTGCAGCAGAAAGAGATTTAGCAGGAAAATCGCGATTAAATGTACTTAAATTTCTGGAAATTGATTGAGCAGACCGTTTGTGCCCTGGGTAAAGAGAAACAATAACAAGAAGAAAAGATAGAAAACAAAAACGTTATTTGGATGACAGTATATTTAACTTGCATAAAATGTTCATGAAAGAGTACCCTCAACACTCAACTTTTATGTGGAGTCTGAATTTTTATTTCAATAGTCTTTACATTTTAATTTATTAATATTCAGTAAGAGTTATTTAAAAAACTGTACACCTAGGTTAAAAATGGATGTTTCCTTTCATAACAGCATGATTAATCGGCAGTAGCGCTATATCTAATAATGAAATATTTTATTATTTACTTAGAAATGTTTAACTCATATCAGTTGTACCCAATAATTAATGAATTAGTCTTCATTGACATTTTATATTTTATAACGTAAAATGTCTCCTCCGTTGACTATTACATCTCCTCCGTGGACAAGGCAGAATTTAAAATATTTTTAATCTTGTAAAAAATTAAATAGAAAACTTGATCATTATTATAAGGACATATAACAAAAATAAATAAAGGCATTTATGTAATTTTTATCACTTTTTTAATTACTTTAATTTAAGAAATTTTTTTAGTCTATTTATACCCTATCAGTGCGAATGACCCATAGCTGCTTGCAATACTGTTACAGATACCCAAATATGGTAAAATTTACTGTGTTTCTGGTTCTATGGTTCTAGTGATAAATGGGAAGATCAAAAATCACGAGGAGTTTTGCTGCTAGGCTTTCGTAAGGATTTTATTAAAATTTACTCTGAAATATTGTTTGATAATATATGATAAAGTTTGTAAATGTAGTAAATCTCGGAAATTCTCGAAATAATTATACCTTATTCGAAATCAAAATACCTTATAGCATGGAAAAAACATCATTTATTTGTGTAAGTATACTTTTAAGTTTTATATTTTTTACAAAACGTGTGGTTATAGGATTCATAATTTTGGAAACCAGCAGTCCCGGTTAACCTTTTACCACATGAACTGTAAATTATAAAATGAATGATATTTTGGTTTTATTTACCAAAATTATGCTCGTTTTTCTTTGTATAGTAATTCTGCGAATTTCCTACTTTTAATTATCATCTGCCCAAACAATTAGGTCATCTTAAGTCAACTCCTCAACAAACTAAAATTAAAATTAGTATAGGAAAAACTGATCATTTAAAATCAAAAGTTATCCAATTGCTCCATTAATATTTTGCTACACTTTCACATATATCATTCTCCAAGAAATGCTCATTCAAAATATGAGGTCTGGTAAAAAATCTTCTCCTGCTAACTTCACTCATTTTTCGATTATCTTTATTCTGTAATGTATTACCTATAATGCGCGTTTAGAAGATTCTAATAAATATTGTTAGCATTGAAAAATCTTTATCTACTTCCAAAGTTAACTGAGTTGCAACAACGAGAACAGGTTGCAAAATTGTATGATGCTCAATTTTGTGAATTTGAATCCTCAATAATTCAAATACTCAATAACAGACTATTGATGTATTTCAGGATATAAATAGTTAATAAATATTAGGGAAATGATATATATATATATATATATATATATAT